TGCCCGTCTGCCCCTTGGCATCCAGGCTCCATAACCCAGACAGGAGGCAGGTCCCGCGGACGCACCCTCCTCCCCACCGGCCCGGAGCCAGAAGTGGGCGGCGCCAGCTGCTCCCCCGAGGAGGCCTGGCAGCCGCTGCTCATGAGGCTGGACCCTGCAGCCAGGAACTGGCTCAGAGCTGTGTCCTCAGGGAAGACCACACCCAAGGGGGCCGTGCGGGTGGCTCTGCTCTGGGCATGCATGCTTGTTGGACCAGAGCACCTCTGAGTGCCAGGAGAGGCAGGTCCACACAGCTGCCATCGCCCCGTCTGGGGACACGCCCACAGTATATTAGGTGGTGGGAAAGGGGCCGTGTCAACGCGTGAGTGCTGCCCCGTTAGCCCCGGACTCGGGGACACTGGGCACGTACTTGCAGCCATGAGTCCCGGACAGACGAGCTTCGTGGGCTGGAGTGTGGGCCTCAGAGGCGGTCTGAGAGCTGGCCTGTGGTGCCATGGGGGGCCGCCCCAAGGCGCTGACGGGCCAGGGTCTACGGGGGCAGTAAGCAGGGCCTTCTCTTTACACGAGGTTTACGTTTTCACTGGTCCTTGTGCTGGCCTGAGGGACAGAGAGGGACGGGGGGGTCACCCCAGGCGTTGGGACATCGTGATGGCAGCCACCACCCAGGATCTTGGGCACATGCACGAACCCGGTGTGTTTTTCAAGCCAGGGGTTCTGGAACTCGAACAGGAGTCAGTCACGTGGGGCCTAGTGTCTTAACCACGGGTCACCTGCCAGCCCCGTCACCGGCTTCTTCCAGTCTATGTGCACTGGGAACTGCTCTCCCAGGGCCTACAGGCTCATCACCGGCTTCTTCCAGTCTGTGTGCACTGGGAACTGCTCTCCCAGGGCCTACAGGCTCATCACCGGCTTCTTCCAGTCTGTGTGCACTGGGAACTGCTCTCCCAGGGCCTACAGGCTCATCACCGGCTTCTTCCAGTCTGTGTGCACTGGGAACTGCTCTCCCAGGGCCTACAGGCTCATCACCGGCTTCTTCCAGTCTGTGTGCACTGGGAACTGCTCTCCCAGGGCCTACAGGCTCATCACCGGCTTCTTCCAGTCTGTGTGCACTGGGAACTGCTCTCCCAGGGCCTACAGGCTCATCACCGGCTTCTTCCAGTCTGTGTGCACTGGGAACTGCTCTCCCAGGGCCTACAGGCTCATCACCGGCTTCTTCCAGTCTGTGTGCACTGGGAACTGCTCTCCCAGGGCCTACAGGCTCATCACCGGCTTCTTCCAGTCTGTGTGCACTGGGAACTGCTCTCCCAGGGCCTACAGGCTCATCACCGGCTTCTTCCAGTCTGTGTGCACTGGGAACTGCTCTCCCAGGGCCTACAGGCTCATCACCGGCTTCTTCCAGTCTGTGTGCACTGGGAACTGCTCTCCCAGGGCCTACAGGCTCATCACCGGCTTCTTCCAGTCTGTGTGCACTGGGAACTGCTCTCCCAGGGCCTACAGGCTCATCACCGGCTTCTTCCAGTCTGTGTGCACTGGGAACTGCTCTCCCAGGGCCTACAGGCTCATCACCGGCTTCTTCCAGTCTGTGTGCACTGGGAACTGCTCTCCCAGGGCCTACAGGCTCATCACCGGCTTCTTCCAGTCT